TTTGTTGCCCAAAAAAGGAACTTTCCTGTTTGAGGTGATTGGTAATAAAAAACAAAATGTACTGTAGATGTTGAAGAGTGACGGAGCTACAAACACACACACACACACACACACAGAGTACACACACACACACACACACACACACACACACACACACAACACACACACACACACACACACACACACACACACACACAGACACAACATACACACACACACACACACACACAGAGTACATACACACACACACACACACACACACACACACACACACACACACACACACACACACACAAACACACACACACACACAACACACACACACACACACACACACACACACACACACAAACACACACACACACACACACACACAGTACACACACACACACACACACACACACACACACAGAGTACATACACACACACACACACACACACACAGAGTACATACACACACAGAACATACACATATACACACACACACACACACACACACACACACACACAGACACACATACAGGGAGGTACAGAGTGTGTGTGAGAGGAACAGAGCTCGGAGCGCAGGGATAATTCCGTACGATTAGTCTGAGACGATGTGAAAGTCAGTGTTGGGGAGTAACAGATTACAAGTACCAGAGTTATGTAATCAGAGTACAAATTATGAGTAACTGTATTCAGTTACAGTTACTGTTTCAGTGAGTGGTAATTGGATTACAGTTACTTTGTTGAAATAAATGGATTAAACAGAGGGATTTTCCTGTTTTCACATTTTGGGCTAAATCCCTTTTTTTTTTTTTCGGTAATTCCAATCATTGCGGGACACTAAACCAGGTCTAAAACCAGGACTAACCCAGGTCTAAACCAGGTCTAAAACCAGAACTAAACCAGGTCTAAAACCAGGACTAAACCAGGTCTAAAACCAGGACTAAACCAGGTCTAAAACCAGGTCTAAAACCAGGACTAAACCAGGTCTAAAACCAGGACTAAACCAGGTCTAAAACCAGGTCTAAAACCAGGACTAAAACTAGGTCTAAAACTAGGTCTAAAACCAGGTCTAAAACCAGGACTAAACCAGGTCTAAAACCAGGACTAAACCAGGTCTAAAACCAGGACTAAACCAGGTCTAAAACCAGGTCTAAAACCAGGTCTAAAACCAGGACTAAAACTAGGTCTAAAACTAGGTCTAAAACCAGGACTAAAACCAGGTCTAAAACCAGGACTAAACCAGGTCTAAAACCAGGACTAAACCAGGTCTAAAACCAGGACTAAAACTAGGTCTAAAACTAGGTCTAAAACCAGGACTAAACCAGGTCTACACCAGGACTAAACCAGGATTTAACAGGACTAAATCCTGCTGTGTGGACGTGTTTCTTCTTCTTCTATCAATAATATTTTTAATTTGGTTCAGTAAAATCTGGACTTTTTATTTTCTTTTATCAGACAAAACTTCTTATGTGAAGATTTCCTCGTCTTTGTTTCTCTACAGCAAATCAAGTAATCCAAAGTAATCAGATTACATTACTCACTTTAAGTAATTTAATGGATTACGTTACAAACTACATTTTGGTGTGTGTAATCTGTAATCTGTAGGGGATTACATTTTAAAAGTAAACTTCCCAACACTGGTGAACGTTTATAAATGTGAACAGAGGCAGAGCTGTCGGAGGAGGGAGAAGAACAGGATGTGCAGAAAGACGAGAGGCAGTCCAACGTCACACACGCTCAAAACGATTATATTTATGTATTTTTTATTTATGGATCCATTTGCTGAGAGCAGAGAAATAAACTGTTCTTCCCGGGTCCGATGAAAAACACAATGACTATTTCAACCTCACAAATATAAGCTGATTGTTTTTGTTTTTTCATTACACAATCAAATTTCCTTTCCTTAAAGAGCAGGTGTTCTGCAGAATCGACTCTCTGGAGCTTTTTCCCACGTTATAAAGTTGTTCCCTCATCAGAAATATGCCAGAAGAGGTTTTAGAGTCATCCACGCATGTTTGAGTCATCTAGTGATCTCAGATACTATCGGCTCTATTCACACTTATGTCACAAACTGGGAAGAAGTTTGGAAACATGCACGACTATTACACGACTATTACACGACTATTACACCACTATTACACCACTATTACACCACTATTAAACGACTATTACACCACTATTACACGACTATTACACGACTATTAAACGACTATTACACCACTATTACATCACTTTAACTCTCACCAAAAGAACTGAGAGAAGATGAAGAACTTTTGTGCCGTAAACGGACTAAACCAGGACTAAACCAGGTCTAAAACCAGGTCTAAACCCAGGTCTAAACCAGGACTAAAACCAGATCTAAACCAGGTCTAAAACCAGGACTAAACCAGGACTAAAACCAGATCTAAACCAGGTCTAAAACCAGGACTAAACCAGGTCTAAACCAGGTCTAAAACCAGGACTAAACCAGGTCTAAAACCAGGACTAAACCAGGACTAAAACCAGGTCTAAACCAGGTCTAAACCAGGACTAAAACCAGACTAAACCAGGTCTAAAACCAGGACTAAACCAGGACTAAAACCAGGTCTAAACCAGGACTAAACCAGGACTAAAACCAGGACTCTAAACCAGGTCTAAACCAGGTCTAAACAGGACTAAACCAGGACTAAACCAGGTAAACTAAACCAGGTCCTAAACCAGGACTAAACCAGGACTAAACCAGGTCTAAACCAGGTCTAAACCAGGACTAAAAACCAGGTCTAAACCAGGTCTAAAACCAGGTCTAAACCAGGACTAAAACCAGATCTAAACCAGGTCTAAAACCAGGACTAAACCAGTTCTAAACCAGGTCTAAACTAGGTCTAAATTAGGACTAAACCAGGACTAAACCAGGACTAAAACCAGGTCTAAACCAGGACTAAACCAGGACTAAAACCAGGTCTAAACCAGGACTAAACCAGGACTAAAACCAGGTCTAAACCAGGACTAAAACCAGGTCTAAACCAGGACTAAACCAGGACTAAACCAGGACTAGCTGCTCTGACGTCAGGATGGAAATAATTCTAAATGATCTTCAGTTGAATCTCCAAATAAATCTGCGGGATCAGAGCACGAGCGACGCCCCAGAGACCCGAGCCCCAGAGACCCCGAGCCCCAGAGACCCGAGCCCCAGAGACCCGAGCCCCAGAGACCCGAGCCCCAGAGACCCGAGCCCCAGAGACCCGAGCCCCCGCGCCGAGGCTAACCACTCTGCCGCTCCAACGCTGTAAGTCATTAATATCCAACATGAGCTCTGTGTTCACACGAGCAGGTTCCATCTGGACCGGGCTCTCCGTCTGACCCCGGCACCATCTGGACCAACGAGTCTCATCACCGCCGCCGCCGCCGCCGCCGCCGCCGCCGCAGCAGCAGCAGCAGCAGCAGCAGCAGGCGCCGCACGGACACTTTTACACTTTTACACGACAACGGCAGGAAAACTCGGGGTGACGGGGATTCAGGTTCAAGTAAAAGACGGTTTTCCTCACACAGTCACGACACTGAAAACTCCCAAACTGTAAAGAGCACTGTGTAACCTGCTCGTCTCCATGGCGATATCATGATTAACCTGTTCCACATTTAACGTTCTTAGACAAGACAAGAAGGCGACGCTGCGGAGAGTCGACCCAGATCACAGTAAGAACGCAGGTTTTTAATGTATTTTTGCCGTTTAGCTCTAAAAGTCTGATCAGTTCTACACATGCAGGTGCAGTAAAGTCATGGAAAATTCACTTTAGGTCATGAAAAAGTCATGGAAAAGTTTTGAAATTTTAGAAAAAGTGTAGGAACCCTGTTAAATAAATGAGATATAAATAGGCTGAATGTCATTAGTGCATGGAGACAAGTGTTGGACCTTCCACAGAAAGTGACAGAATGCATCTTTAACACGAGCGGAGAAACTGAGAAGTCAACAATAATAATAATAATAATAATACATTAATTAATAATTAATAATAATAATAATACATTGGACTTATATAGCGTTTTTTTGGACACTCAAAGATGTCAAAATTGCCATTTTGGTCAAATGGTGTCAAAAATACAGTACTACAGTACTACAATACTACAATACTACAGTACTACTACAGTACTACAGTACTACATACTACAGTACTACAGTACTACAGTACTACATACTACAATACTACAGTACTACAGTACTACAATACTACAATACTACAGTACTACAAGTACTACACTACAGTACTACAGTACTACAGTACTACAATACTACAGTACTACATACTACAGTACTACAATACTACAATACTACAGTACTACAATACTACAGTACTACAATACTACAGTACTACAGTACTACAGTACTACAGTACTACAGTACTACAATACTACAGTACTACAATACTACAGTACTACAGTACTACAATACTACAGTACTACAATACTACAAGTACTACAGTACTACAATACTACAGTACTACAATACTACAGTACTACAGTACTACAATACTACAGTACTACAATACTACACTACAGTACACAATACGTACTACAGTACTACAATACTACAGTACTACAGTACTTACAAATACTACAGTACTACAGTACTACAATACTACAGTACTACAATACTACAGTACTACAGTACTACAATACTACAGTACTACAATACTACAGTACTACAATACTACAGTACTACAGTACTACAGTACTACAATACTACAGTAATATAGTACTACAGTACTACAGTACTACAGTACTACAGTACTAGATCATTATGTTTTTGAGCAGGTGCAGTTTATGAGATTTTTCTCCAAAGACAAAAACTAAAAACTAAAACTGTTCCAACAATCAGAATGTTTCAGAAGAATTTAACTCTAGAGTCAAACACAAATCTGAGGAGTTTGTTTGTGTAAATATGAAGAACACGTTTATGTCCACATAGACAGATACATGTGTCCCCCCGTCCCCCCCGTCCCCCCCGCGTCCCATCATGCACCGCGGCCTCCGCCTACCGTCTCGGCCGATCAGGAAGTCCAGGTAGCGGTAGGTGTAGGCCGCGCCCACCCTGGTCTCCACCTGAGGTCTCTTCAGGGTGGAGTAGATCTTCCCTGGACTCTGCTCCTCAGACACGGGCTTCAACTTCTTCAGACCACAGCCCATGGTCCTCACACTGT